TTTATGGTTTGACCCTCTGCACTGTCAAATACTTTTTGGATATTAACAATACCAGGTAGATATTAACCAGCGTGCAGTTGTGCTTGAAGTGTTTTTGAGTAGATTCTGAATCAGAATGATGCCTTTTTTGCCTTTTGGATTTTTAAGAGAAAAGATTAAAAACAAATTAATTTCTGCAGCTGCAAAATATATTTTAGATAACAAATAAAATAAAAAATAGGACAAATAAGATTGTGTTGAATACAAGAATGACTGGAAATATATGAATTACAACATGTATAGTGTACAAAGGAACACCAGTAGATCCTACGAAGAAAAATAGTAAATAATACAAATGAAGAACATTTCAAAAATATCAAATGTACAGTATCAATTCCTTTCTTCTTAAGTAATTGAATATAATAAGCCTTTTGGAAAAACATGGACACAACAGTCATCATGCACTTAAGTACCAAATAAAGGATGAAACAATTTTTTCCCTGTGGTTTTCTGGTTTGTGCCATACTTTCCTTAGTCCTGTGCTTTCGTTCATGTTTACATTTACATTTACTCATTTAGCTGATGCTTTTATCCAAAGCGACTTACAATTGCTATACATGTCAGAGGTCGCACGCCTCTGGAGCAACTAGGGGTTAAGTGTCTTGCTCAGGGACACAATGGTAGTCTCACAGTGGGAATCGAACCCAGGTCTCCCACACCAAAGGCAAGCATTTTATCTATGCACAATCCTTTTGAACTGCATCCTTGCTTTTGGTCTGCATTTGGATCCACACCTCAGCCTTCACTCAGCTAACCCATGACATTAACAAGGAAACAGGGCACCATGATGATCAGCCTTGTCGTGGTCATCAAAGCAAGACTAAACTGTGTGTTTTCTTTCTTTCATATACAATATTTTGATTTCCAGACCAAGACCATTTGCAATTCAGATATCTTAAAGGAACCTGCATTTACAGATTTCTTGTCTCCTTCTGTCTCCTAATCAGTGCCAACCACCTACATTTCATAAAATCGTGAGTGAAGGCCGATTCTGATGACACAGACTGTTTACCAGCCTTCAAATATGCAGAATGATAGATAATAACTGATAACTTGTCACAAAGGAAATCATCTTTGTCCTCTGCTATTCAGAAGAAAAAGTCTCTGGAAGCCAAATCTGTTACATGAGACTGTAAAGAGTCTTTTCCAGTCCCTTTAACCAAGAATCGTACAGATTTAGATTTACCTTAGGGAAATGTGTACATCCTTTTACACCAATGAGCCAGGTCTTGTAAGTGGTGAGAAACTGCCGCCTTTTTACACCTAGTTAAAAAAAAACAACACTCTAATATTAGAAAACTAAAATGTATAAAGAAAAACGTCTCATTCAATACCACCCTTAAGTGTCGATATGCATATAATCTGTAAAAATGATTTAGAACTTGTGGACAAACCTCACAGTAGAGAATAACTCCCACACAAATCTGAGGAAATACTGCATTCTGCTCTACCAGATCTGAATTATAACTGGCTGACAGCCTCAAGTTGCACACTGATTATCTACATGGCCTGATCGCACACTTATTGATTAGCAAAGGTTTGATCTTAGAACTGATCCTGATTGCTCTGACATGTGCAGTACCACAAGCAATCTGCCTTACCTTAAATCAGCTATTTTCTCATTAATCTTCCTCTGGGAAAAACGAACCACAGCATTTTTAAAACCCAGTTCTCGACCAAAAAAGATTTAAATGCCCTAAGACAAGATCCTGGTGTCTTTAAGGTACTATTATATCAGGTAGGCTGTTTTTTGTCCCAACTTTTGACACACAAACTTCTCTTCATAACTTTTGTGATTCCTGCAGCTTACTCCACACCTCCCTGTCTTATGCGCTCAACATAAGCTCTTAATTATTCCATCAATGTCATGTTAGTTGCTCCCTGCCTGTGCGCACATTTTAAATAAAACGCTGCTGTAAAAAGCATCTATTTCAAACAAAGCTTGCAGCCTCTACCATCCCCAACACTGCATTTTTCATTGTGTTCTACTACTGTGGAATTTGTTGTATTTTGCGAATTTGGCCAGGATTCTCAGTGAGCCTTTCCTGGTTAAAAAAACTATGTTTACAGTTTCCTGCTTTACATTGAGTGTCACAAGGGTGACTGTAGTTAAAGAATTACCAAGACATTACGACTAATCTGACAATGATAAATCACAAATTGTTGCACTTGCAGGTTAGACAACCAAAAATAAATTGTATGAATAAGACAGTTTTAGCGGTGTCTTCAGCTCTCTAGTTAACCTAAAGACATCAGATTAATATTGAGCTTATCATGCGGCGCCAGTTAGCTCACCGCTAGAGCATGCACGCTACATACAAAGGATGAGTCCTTGCCACAGCGGCCCAGGCTTGAGTCCAACCCACAGCCCTTTACTGCATGTCTTCTTTCTCTCTCTCTCTCTCTGGTTTCCTGTCTATATCTGTCCTGTCATAAAATTAAAGACTAAAAAGCCCCCCCAAATACTAATATATTTATTGAGCTTATTTATGGTATGTTATGAGCGTAATAAGTATGAGGTGTATGTTAGGACTTTCTTTCTCTATGTCACGCTCAGTTTATCCATTTGTTCAGCTGCAGCAAGATTATTTAAGTGAGTTAATTAGGTTACATTGTCAACCCTCAGCCCAAAATATTTAGTAGGCAAATTAATACCTCAGGGCATATTTTTAATCAGTGGCTATTTTAATGGAGAGCTCTGTCCGAAGGCAGAAATATGTATTTAATGTTATGTAGCATCCTCAGTGACTGTAAGCATTGAAGCCTGTTGAAAAGCAGCTATTTGTTTAAAAAACCCACATTATTATTTGTGTGTGTTTGTGTGACACGCCATCCAGAAGCGCAGCATCCTTCAGCCCAGACTGAACCGCTGTGCATCAGGGTAAATGATGCTTTGCCCTTGAAAAGGCCTGCGTGATAATCCAAGATTAGTGTGTCTGTGTGTGTGTGTGCGTGCAGAGAAAAAATGAATATGTGCACGCAGGCTATTTGTGTGTATGAGTTTTGGTAAAAAGAGAGTTTGCATGCGTGTATATTGATACAGTATGTAGACTATGTCAGTATGCAGCACATCCGTACATTTGAGAAGTGGGAGCCAGCTAATGTGTGACTAATGTTTTGTCAATCAGTGTTTTGTTGATTGACTAATGCAACACTGATTTGTAGGCAGTGAGAGTATATGTTTATCTGAGTGTGTGTGTGTGTGTATGTTTGCATATGCATACATGCCACTAACTGTGCTGAGGAATGGTTCTTTGGAAAGTGCAGGTCAGTAAAGTAGACACCAGTTCTCTTGTCTCATTCTCCTCCATGTGACTTTCTCATATTTTCCCCTTCTGTTTTTAATACTTTCTGCTCTTTTTCATGGAGGCAGGGTTTTAGAAATACAGTATACCCATTCATAGTGTACTTCATGTTGCTTTACTTATAGAGTGGAAATCCTGCTATTTTAAGTTCTCAGTGAGTACTGTTTTACAACTATTTTTTTTCCCTCTGGATGCCCAGTCAAGTTCCTATATTACACACACAGCTATTTTGAAAATGTTGCTCTTTCTCCTGAATCAAAGTGTCTCATAACAATCAGGCTTAGTTTTTATTATGCCTCTGTGCAGGCAATAGCTGTTATTCAACACCATAGCTCATGAACAGAAGGGGAGATTTTGACAGTTGCTCGGACACTGAATAGGTAACGCTTCAAAGGTCACTGTGACCTAAAAAATTGATTTTTAGCCATCATTTAAAGATGGATTGGGCATTTCAAGATTCACACACATGTTGAGTGGGACAACACAATGAGTAAACAAAAGTGTTTTAGCATTGAATCAGGCCCCCACAAGCCTCTACAACCGATTTTAATCAGAGTAAAAAAAAAATCAAACGTAGGTAACATATCTATTCCAAACCTAGCTGTCTCTGAATTAGCTTCAACACTTGACATCCTGAGTAGAAATGTAAGATGGAAACTAGCAGAGGCAGTTTTAAAATGTCTGTGGAACACTACTGGAGGAGTGACACATTGCCGAGGTCTGCCAGGTATCTAGCATGCCAAATATCTGGAAGAGTCGGCCGACTCGACATTCACATCCAGCCAATGAGAGCAGGCATTTGGCAGAGTAGGCAGCTACTTTTCACTGCAAAATACTTTTTACTCACCTCCAGCTCTCTGTAGCTCAGACAATCTCTGCTACCTGTGTGTGCTAATCCGTTCTTTCACCCGTATTTTTTGTCTTTATAATTGGTATCTTTATAATAACAAACAACAGCTGTTTTGTGTGTAGTTTCGCGTCATTTCCTGTTTCACATTTCACGTGTGTTTTCTTGACAAAACGTGGTTTGGAGACCAGCATCGGGTGGCACAGCTGCTGTCAGCTCCTGTAGTGTGTGACCCCCTGTCGATTAGTCACATAGTGTGAATGCCACAACGACTTCAAGACTTCCATCACAAGACGGCAAGTTGTGTAGTCTGAACAGCATGGCCATCGGCCGACGCTGAAAGTTGTCTAGTCTGCACAAGCCTTTACAAGTTCCAAATCTTCCATAGGTGTGAAACTGGGTTGAGATCTGGTGACTGTAAAGGCTATAGCATTTTATTCACATCATTTTCACACATTTACCAAACCATTCAGTGAGCCCTGGTGCACGGAAACATCCGCATTTGATATGTTTCTCTTTTATTTGTCCCCTGTCTGTATATGGTAGTATAATTAATTTTATTTTTTAATTACTTTACGTTTATTGAAACCAGAGTTGCAAACAAGCTCTTCCTCAAAGGCTAAATGCTGTATAAAGAACTCTTTGTGGAAATACATTTTTTATAAGATGAAAGAACACTGGACTGACAAAGAAAAAGGAAAATCAGTATTATTTTACTAAAGGCCTCTAAGGCCTTGTCAGACATTTTATTAATCTGTGTGTGTGTGTGTGTGTGTGTGTGTGTGTGTGTGTGTGTCCTTCTCTTTCAGGTGGGAGGGATGAGCAAGGCGGTCTGGAAGCCGTCAGAAGGATCTGTGAAGAGTGCAAAGAGGCCAAAGGTAACATCGCGAACATGCCTGAGAACACATGCATAAACACACACAAAAATGCTCATGCACATGTGTACTTGATATTTTATATGCCAGTGTTGGAAGATAAAGGGCAGAGCTGCAACTGTGTGTCCCGCAGGCTTGTTTTTACAGTCTTTACTAGGCACACACACATATAATTGCACACTAGCAGGTACACAGTCATGCAGAGACGCACAGAGCTTCCGTGCTAGCTGCACGATGTCAGGAGTGTTGTTGATGCACCGAGAGGAAGATGAGGATACAAGGGAAAAGGCTGTGAGATTAAGATGAGGAGGGATAAGTCAAGCAAAGTGTGAGGGAGGAGGGGCAGAGACAGACATGGATGGAGGCAGAGAGGGGGAGGAGAATGTGGCATACAGGTGAATAAAAGAGGGAAAATGAAAGACAATGTGGAGGGAAAAGGGAGATGCAGCAGTGGTGATGGAGATGAGAGGAGACAAATGATAACACAGAAAAGATTTATTACTCCATTGACTAAAGCTTATGGTGTTCTGTGTAACTCCCATGTTGAGAAATTGATTCGGCTGGCCTTCACAGCACCATAAATTCCACCATAGTCTCATGACAGAGGAGCCTCATGAGTTATTCTTCTCTGTACCAAACAGCCTTGAGTCTTTACCACTTTGCAAGGCTTGTCAGTAGCTGAGTACCTCAAGGGATGTTTACAGATTTGCACTAATACAAAAATCAACAGCTGATATAATTATTGGTGATTAACATTTTCAAGATAAACTTTGAGTTCTCTTTAATAAAATTATTTTATCATCATATCAAATTTTTTTTTTCCTTTAAAAAAGTAGTATACTGTGTCTGTAAAACTGCATCTAAACTTTGAGCATCAGTTGTTCCATGGCGGGCCGTTTTCACATGCGGACTCAAAATCTGGGAGAACAATTGCCTGCCATTAATTTTGAATACAACCTGTCATCCCAGCCCCGCGCCACCTGCTGAGCTACAAAGATTTAAAAGTCACCCAGCAGCACTACAGGGTAAAGTTGAGAAACGTTAAGCCAATGTCTGACATTGACACAATGCGAGTCACAGACAGGCGAGAGCCAATCGTGCTTGCTTTAATACCCGCAGAAACAGAAGCACAGAGTTGTTTACTACTCTGCTGCACTAGTGGAGTGAGGAATCGCTACCAGCACAGATATAGGACCGCAATGCTAATCAGTCCTACCAGCTCAGGCACCATAGTTATAAAAACAGTTTCAATAGCGTGTACCACCCTAAAACAAAAAAATGGATGAAAAAAAGCTTTTCTGTACTTGGGAAACAAACTGTATTACAATAAATTAACAGCGTCCTTGTGAATGTTATTGTGGCTCCATCAGAATACAACTTTATGTATGTGTGACACACACAGACAGAGCTACAGCTTAATGAGAGGTCACAGACTGCCCACTACTTTGTATCTCTGTGTGACCGCAGCTTGACATTGACTGAGTGATGGTGACTGAGAGCTTAAGAGAGGCACTCTATAAAGTCAACATAGCCATCTACCATTAGCAATTTAAGTTTTACATCCTTATACAACATTCAATATTTCATATAGAATCCATTGTGGAAGAATATTTGTATGAAAGCTACCCGAGTTTGCCATTTGTAGCCCTCATTCCCAACACACTTTTTAGTATGTCATTTTAACTTCACGAGTGGCATTGGCAAGCTCCTGCACACTCATTGCTGTTTGTCCTGACAGGAGGCAGTCTAGCAAACAATGTTATCTTTCATGGGCGACCGCAAAAGACCAAACCGTCAAATCTCACTGCAACAGGTAACGGATATACTGTACCTAAGCTGGGTCAAATCAATACAGTGGTTTGCTCAAAACTGACAATATTTCATGGTAACCAGAGGGTGCCGTGGGGAGTTGAAACATCGCCTTTATTGTTAGACCAATTAGTGCGCACACAAACTTGACCAGTCTTCTCTGACCTCTGCCTGTTAGGCTGTTGAAAACACCCATTTCCTTGGATAAATCATCAGTCAGTACAAAAAATGAATGCTCACTGCAGAATACCAATACAGCGGAAACTGTCACTTCAGAAAAAAACGCAGTCAAAGTGGATGGACACTGTTTCCCAAATGTCAAACTTATTATGTGAAGATGAAAACCACATTATCATCATGTGTAGGATTCTAGAGATCGATCGGCTAGTCACCAGAATCGGCCAGTGTTCAGCTTGATCGGCCGTAACCAGGGTCCACCAGTCTCACATATCTGATCCTGTGCAGAATATACATCTGTAAAGTGTAAGCGCTGCTTATTGGGAAGCAAGCAGTGGTTTGTCTTGCTTGACCCTGCAGTGGAGAGCAGCAGAAAGGCTAGGTCCCTTCTGTGTGTAAATGGCTGTCAGGTACAGAGACAGCGGCCATGTAGCCCGTGTCATTGAAGTCGATTTAGAAGTCTGGACGAGGCCGTGGTGGAATTGATTACTTCTTTTGTAATTGGCAGGCACTGTGGCATAGGGGACAAGGGGAGGTGTCTGTAGCCAGATGCTTGTGCACTGAATGAGAATGTATCGATGTGTGTGTATTTGAATGAGACGGTAATGGATTCTCATTAGTATGTGAAGCAGGAGGTTTAAACATCTCTGTCCAAATGCCCCTTGGCATCCTTCCTAGTGTTTGCACATTTGTCTGTTATGAGAAATGGGAGATAGCTCATAATATACATGTAGGCTGCAGAAGTGATTCTCAAACTGTGTACAATTTTAGAGGTCCTTCAGGGGAATTCAAGTTGTCACCAAGACCAAGACAAAAATCTAAATAATTAGAAAGTATCTCAATATAGATTGTAGAAGATAGAATAAAGTGTTTATTGGAATCACTTTGAACACTATTTAAGGGTTACTCATATTATCGCGGGCCAATTTTGAACTTGTCACCTCTGCTGTAGTGATTGTGGAAATGCAACAATAGCAGAACAACATATTGGGGCCAACTGACATTATCCCCCTTTATTAGCTATTGTAGCTAACTGCAGATCCAGGGCAACTATCTGGCTAATGAAACCAGCTGCCAATTCATCTGCACACGCCACTTTGTTTAATTCTATTTTCCTTTTAAAGGAGTGAATCAACGTTTTGGGAAATGCTTATTTACCCATATTTCCAATATTCAGATGAGAAGATTGATACCACTCTAATATCTGTTGGTCTTGTAGTCTTGTCCTTAGTGTGAGGTTTCCAGACTAGTTGTGACTCCAGGAAGTCACTGCTCCTGGACAAGAAATAGTCCAATATATAACCCACAGTAAAACCACAAATAGTCATTTTTAAGCTTAGGTTTTTGTGCAGATTAAACAAACGGCATATTAACGCGTTAATTAAGCTAGCCCTAGTAGTTAGTGTGTGACCATATGAAGGGTTCTGCTTTTTGGCTCAACTATGTCCAAGAAACCCAACACTATACAGTAGGAATGATCATGCGAGTGTGTTGTATGTTGCACATGTATGTATGGATATTGTATGTATGTATCTGTAAATGTGTAAAGGTGTGTTAGGTTCCATTTTATATCATGGCATAGTGTATTGCCTGATGTAACAAAGGTAATGTCCCTAGAAAACCTTGAGTACAATTCTGTGGAAATATGCTAATGACTTTAGACTGCAAGTGGGCTTTTTTCAATGAGGCGTAAAGCATTTTACTTTAAATGATAAACATGCACACCCACACACACACGTACACACAGGTACACACAGATACAGGGTATTTTTGTATTTTTGCCACAGGCAGCGCTGTCTGTCCACTAACTTTAGTCACGGTGCACTTGAAAGTAACACTTAGTGCCTCAAACCATAGGCCTAGATTAACAGTGTGAAGTGAGGGAACCTGCGTGTGTGTGTGTGTGTATTTGTTTGTCTGCTTAACACACATTCAGTTTTCTCTAGCTTAGGTAACGCAGCTGCTCCCTTCCTACAAAAACGGCCGTTATTTTCCCTAAGCTCTTTCACTCCAATTAACACAATTTTTTTGTCATAAAAGTAATTGAACCAGCCGCTTCTAAATTGAAAGTTTATAAAAGACTGACCTTGTTAGAGATTGTCTAAATATGAGCATGACATTGAGTTATTTGAGTTAGTTTCTGAAAGGTTGTGGTGTTGCAAATGTTCTGTGTTATTTCTGAGTGATTGTGTATGTGTGTATATATACAAGATAGTATGTGAGTGTTTATTTGTACTGGTGTTTTATTATTGGTCTATGTAAAACAACCATACAGATTTAGAATTAAAGCTGTCTTGACTTGGGAGAGTCTCATCCCTTTAACATTACAAGCTGGAGTTGACTGGGGCACCAGCGAGCCTCCCCTCTCCCATATCAGCTGAATAAAAAATGTCTGTGGTGGAGCTAATGCTGGCATGCTGCCCAGACTTAATATTCTTGGATATCACTGTGCTGTTTATCAGAGAGCTCAAAGTGAAAATATTTATACCTCCTTGCTACTTCATAAGAGAGAGAGAGACAGGGCAGTCCATTCACCTTTTTGTATTTTTACTCTTTATTTAGACAGTATTGTAAAAAAGGAGAGAGAGAATATGTGAGAAGCTATAGCAGGGTGTGATTTAAGAAACACGTGGCTTCATCATCCAAACATATCTAAGATCGTCAGTCACATTTCACCACATTGAGTCCTTGTATTTACAGTCCAAACAGTCTGAGTGCTTAGACAGTAAAGGATGTGCCAGAAATTAATTGCATGTCAAGGTGTTTACTGTCAATTTTAAAGTTGTAATCCTTAAGATGTCAGTCCTGGTTGAGGTAGGCCTAACAGCAAATGCAGTTTAATAATGCAGATCACAGAATCCTATTGTCGTTTTAATAAAGAAGTCAGACAGTAATTGGCCTGGGTTGGTTACCTCTCTGAGAAGTTGGAGGTGTGCAGCCTGTCGCCTGCAGCTCTTGGGTGCTCCTTCTTCTTCCATTAGTCAATATTTCAAACTGTTCCAATGTCAAAAAATGCA